TCGGTTGACTACGTATAAATGAGTTATTTATTGTAACGCGTGCTCGGTTGACTACGTATAAATGAGTTATTTATTGTAACGCGTGCTCGGTTGACTACGTACAAATGAGTTATTTATTGTAACGCGTACTCGGTTGACTACGTATACATGTATGCGCGTGAACTCTGCCTGGTTATATTAAATTCGTGTTCAGTACAAGGATATATCTTACAGAGATATATATTATCTAATGTTTAAACACTTTTTTGTATACATGTTTGTACGTAGTAACTTCCGTCTGGATATTAGTAAATTGTTATGTGTATGACCGGTTGAGAGGTATTTCTAACGGTACCGTTTCCCCGATTTATTGGATTTTGAAATCGCGAACTGCGTAAATATTTGATAATGTGGAGGTATGCTTGTACAAATTGTGAGACAGATAAAAAGTATTTGCACGAGATTCAATTCGAATTTTTATAAGAAACGTTATTTAGTTGCATCACAGCTAAGCCTTTATTATAATACACTACACGCGTAGATGTGGCACTCTGTCCTGTAAACGTTTATTAGTGGCATCAAAGCATAGTTTGGATTTTCGATAGATAGACGTTGCGTCCCTTCTTTTATCTCACCTGACAATGAACTTTACACGTCATTTATTGGTGAGTTAATTAAATCTCCTTTGTTCTCATGCTTATGTGTCGTTGTAAAATAACTGATTTAACTGACGATTCGGTTAAGGGCTAATAAAATCAACTGTCATGAGTGTTTCAATGTTATATTTTACATAGAAGATAATGTAACCTCCTCTTAGAGTTTTTTTCTCAGATTTACATGTTATTGTACTTCACTGATCACACCAAGATTGTTGCAGTTAACCGCTACTGATTTGCCGTTCTGATGGTGTGTTCACAACAAAGAGTCATTCGAAATGTTATTTCGTATGAAGAGACTGACGTATATATATATAGTCAGCCGAGTCCAACACTCCATCACCCAAATGTTTTCATACACAGTACGCCGCTTATGCTTGATACTGATAGTATAATATATATATATATATATTTACATGTTCACCGTTTAGAAAGTAAATTTATGTAATCAACCACCAACAAACTTTCAAAAGTTAAGAGTGTCAAATAGAGGGCAACATTGTAGCTGTTTCATGAGGCAACATTGTAGCTGTTTCATGGCAAGAGGTGCTAGTAAGTTAACTAGGATCATACGTACATTATTATTACACGTATATTTGAGGTAGTAATAATTTATCTACTTGTTCTGTTCTATAAAACATGCTCTCTCTCTCTACGTAAAAGTAAATTGTCGATTGAATTAAATTTCAGTGTATTGAGTCATAATATTTTGTAGATGTAACGAAACGTATATGAATATCTGTACGTGTATATGTATTGATCTTATTCACGTACTACGTGTTGTTTACAATATCTTTACTTTTATAACTTAATGTCATCTTTGTAGGTGTTGTCTTCAACATGTGTAAATTTCAAGCACTAATAACTATCTAGCTCTCGGACATTTATTAAGATATTAATATTGTCATTGTATTACTAATTCATAAAATAATTTTAGATACAAACATGTTTCCTCACTGTTCTGTTGTCCTTATAACGTGTTTAGGCTTCAAGTTTACAGGAATAAATAAATATAAATGAAACAAAACAGACGAAATATAAAAACGTACCTAACGATAAATATTAAAGTTTCGGCTTACTTTTTTTTTTTACATTTCTTTTCTGAAACTGTTTATTGTAAGTGAACAATATTTAACAATGAAGTACATGTATTTGATTTTATATCTAAAAAAAGTAGAAGATAAAAACAAAAGTTTATAAAAAATAGAATTAACCGAAGCGTTAAATTGTTATTCGAAAACATTTAAGTAAAAATGTTTGAATTTTAATTTGTAGAAAGTTGTTACTTTCAGTGTTGTTAATTTTTTTGAGAATTGTTTGAATATTGTTTGTTAAAAAACATATAAACATTTCCTTAATATTAATTTCAGACTCATTTCAGTAATTTACTCCTGTTTTCTGTTTATTGATAATTGATGAGAAAGTGAATTAAAGGTGAAAATATGAGTATTCCCATATTAATATATTTACAATGAAAAAATTTCTCTACCTATAAAAAATTATTTTTATTTTCTTTGAAAATGATAGAAATTTAAGAATTTATATACTCATGTTTAAAATTAGAAGGCCTTTTTGTACGTAATTTTTCATTGGAGAAAAACAACAAATAATTAATTTTTTGATGATGGAATAATGTTATGATTGGATCTTCAAACCTCAAAAAAATTGTATGGGCTGTTTTTCCCTGAGATATATTTTTTTGTTTAATAAA